AATACTAATTGGACTATAGGTAATGACTTTGGGGGTATATGTAATGATGCATGTAGGAGCCAAAACTTAACAAAGAAGCTTTGTATTATGCATATATATGTGAGTGTCAATGAGTATTGTGAGCAAGAGGCAAGGAGTAGCTTACTAGCAAAAGAAGTAGAGCAACAAATACCTCAAAGAGGAGGAGAGCAAAAGCTATAGTAGCGAGGGAGGAAGTGACGGGGAGGCAAACATAATATTAGTGTGAGAGGTATTTTAGGATTAGTATAAGTACCAATGTTAAGGGTACTTAGTGTAGACTATCCTAAAATACATAGTATTTAATATTGTAATTGTAGTAGTGGTCAATCTACTCTTGAAATTATTGCTAGTAAAGTCGTTTTCGTCTGTGGAGATTCGGATCGTGGTTTTTCCCCTTATTGAGGAGGGTTTTCCACGAAAAAATCTTGTGTGTTTTTTTCTTGTTGTTCCGTATTTTATTATTCTTCTCGATATTGTATTTATTTATTGCTCCGTTCCCAACAAAATATTCCACATTTGTCTTGAAAAAAAACCCAACAAGTTTCTCTTAAATTTCAACTAAGACATTAGATATAAGATATGAAATCGTAAAATTGAAGGAAACTTCTACAACAGAATGACCAACAATTGAATTGTAAGTTGATTTTATTTATTTTTCAAACAAAAATTACAAACCCTAAATTTTTGTCTTATTTTTCAATTATTTTCTATATAGATATATGATATTTCGATAGTAGTTGGTGATTTCTTATGATTTTTGTCATAAAAGTGATTTTTTTTTTTTTATAATTATAGTAGAATAATATATGTTATAATTTATTTTGTGTTGAATTAATTTATTGTGTGTTATAAGATTATAAAATTACTAGACACAAAAAGTTGAAAATAGAGTTTACATTTCATAATACTTCTTTGGATAATCCATATTTTCCCCATTTTTTCCTATATTTTCTATAGGTAAAAAATAAAGAATTTTAATTAGAGTTTGTGATTTCATATAGTTTTTGATTGAATTATGTTATAAGTTGTAAAATGTGCATTTTAAATGGGCTTTGTGTTCGTTGGGAGAAAAATTAACGGATTTTTCACCATATATATTTTTGAGTAATTTTTTATTCATCGTATACCCATGAAAATTTTCAAATTCATCACATACACTTAAGTTTCACAAAAATATCACCAAATGCCCATAATGGCTTATATCAATTAATTTTGTTTGTCATCAGGGTTAATTATGCCACATGACATCATCTTATTGGTTATTTTTTAAATTAATTAATTGACTTTTTTTAAAAAAAATAAAAAGCTTGAAAAAATTTCTAAAAAAAAAAAACCACCTATAACCCCCAGCCACCTGAGCCCAGCAACTTCCCCACAACCGCCACCCAACCCAACCTCCCCACCTCCCAACGTGTCGACGACGCCCCTCCCCCTAGTCCGGCGTTGGTGCCTGCATATTCCCGTGATTTACCATACTCTCTCCCTCCTCTTAAACCGTAATTCCCCTCCTTGCCTTTCCACTTTAGCTGAAAATCAGGGAACCAACCATCGTCATTGAACCACGATAGCTTATAAGGAGTTGGGTTGTCACGACATGTATGATAACTTCAAAAAATTAGCTAATTAAAGAAAGGGAACAAGTGTTATGAACTCGAATCAACTATCAAATTACAATCTCGGCCTTTGATCAAACACTTTGCATGAATTAGATTGGATAATTTTTCATGTTCATTTTTGTCTAAAGTTTGCTCAATCAAAGAACATTATAAAATCATCAGGGCTCTTCCACTGGTCCATTAGTTGGTCCCTCAAATAACTAGTGGTTTGATAGAATCAAACTCTATACCCTTCAACATTTTTCTTATACGACTTTGTGTAATACTTCTTATTATGCTCATTATGCTCGCGCTACTATACCACTAAAAGGAACACCACAATCTTTGATGTTAATGTCTTAATTGTCAATCAGATGGCAATACTCCATGCAACACGAATCTATCATTAGGAATAACTTGAACACAATCATACTTGAGCTTGCAGTAGGCCATTGGCCATTGGAAAACAACTAGTACACTTGCAACAATTGGGTGCGTAGGTGAGGGTGCAGTTGCAATTGGTGGGGCAGAGTTGCTAGAGCATAAGTTAATTACTGAAGGATAGAGGAGGAAGATCGAGGATATCACTGTTATTAGCATGATAACAATGCTAAGAAAGGGTGACATTAAGATTAGATTAGATGCAAGGAATGTAGTACCAAATTTTTTAATCTAGTATAAAAATGTTTAAGGTGTAAGGAGAAAGGTATTGAGTTTCTTATTTATAAGTTTCTCCTCACTCTGTGATAGCTAAATTAGTAACTTTACAGTTTGTTGTAATAGTTAAGTTATGTTCACATACACTATAATATACAATGGTTCCTTATATAGCAGCACACTATAATAGTTGGTTTCTTATATATCAATTATTGCAAAATTTGGTAAATATATGATTCATCCTACAATTTGCTTTACATTTTTGTGAATATATAACATATAACCTCATATTTGATTAACTCTACAATTCAGTAGTGGCTTTACTATAAGTTTATTACATTCACATTCTAATGCAGGCGCTAAAATGACACTAGAGCAATTAAGCACTTACTTAGGTATTTTTAAGGCTATATCTGATGAAAAAGATAGGTAACAACGTGGAATATGATTTTCTACTTTAAAGGATATTTTACTTCCACTCAACTCCATGAAACTACTTGGTGCATAACACCGGGTGCTAATTTCCGCACACCCAAAATTAATATCAGCACACCCCTAGTGGCCCATTGACTTCCATTTTCCTAATTTCATTCTTATTGTATTCAACTCTCACGCACAGATGTTTGGTTTTTTTTTTTCTTTATAATTTGACTTTTGTTTTTAAACAATTACCCAAATTAGAATGTAAAACTTTCTTTGAAAAAAAAATGTAAAACTAGTTTTTTGATAAGATGTGTTTATATTGTCATGGTATTGCATTATTGCATAAAAAAATGTAAAACTAGTTTTTTTTTTTTTTTAATTATTATGAAAGGAACATTTTTAATAATTATTGTGAAGGTTGAGAATATTTCATTTCATGAATTTGATGTATAGAGTACAAAGTGCAAAGACACTAAGGTAATGCGTTTTTTTTTTAGTTCATAGTTTGGCTTTATGTTTCATTGCCTAAACTAATTATTATATTCTATTATAATTTTGTTGTAATGCAAATGGATGGAAGTTTATTGGAGTAAATAATTCTAAGTTGTTAGCACAAGATCTTTTAGAATAGCTTTGGTTGATAAATCGTATGTACCTTCATGAATAATTGATAATATAGTCGAATGTGACACATATGTCAATGCACTAATTTGACCTTAAATACATATGAGTAGAAAATAGTAGTAATAAAATATTAAAAGTTGATATATTGAAACTTTATATTAATACTTATTTAACATTATATATCATGATAAATTTATTTTTAATACGTTACTAAAAAAACAATGGTCAAGGCTAACACATGAATCGTGAAAAAGTAAAACATGTCAATTATTTAGAAGTGGAGGGAGTAACTTTTGAGACAATAATGTTTTGTATTTTTGTAATATGGAGTAATATTTGTTGATTTAATTAATTTGAGATAATCATATTTGTTAATTTAAGATGATGTCTAATATTCTATATACCATTTTGTTTATAAAATGTCATATATATATATATATATGTAAAAATAAAGAAAAATCAAATTTTTAAATGTTATTAAAGTTATTATTTTGAAAGATAAAATAGAAAAAAAAATATAAAGTAAAGCATAAAAAGGTACTATTTGGCTTACGTGTGACAAAAAAAATAAGAAAAAAAAATAAAATCCAACAAAAATTAAATTATATTTGACTTCACAGTAGAAACTAAAGCTACTGCCCAAAATAATAATAAATAAAAGAAAATTTATACCCCTTTTTTCTCTAGAAACCCTCCTATACTTAAATTCCCTTCCTACACTAATCTCTTTCCTTATTCAAACTTGTTTTTTACTTTGACTTTGAAATTTTCCTTTTATAAAAATTTCCTTTTATAAAGTATTTCCAAAATTATCAAAATAAATAATTTAAATGCCATAAATAATTTATTTCGTATTATTTAAATACTTCACAAAATACTTATTTAAATTAAAATACATATAAAAATGCGGGGTATTACAATAACAATTGCAATTTGCTTCTAAATCACCATAGCATCACATACATACATACATACATAATCGAAGCCAAAACAAGCATAAATTGCAAGCAAGATGTACAAAATTGAAAACCTTCAAATTGATTTTATTAGGGTTTTCGGAGAAAATAATCACAAAATTCGAGCAAATTATAAGATATAATCGAAGCAAAAATACATTGAGTGTATGGGAGAACTTGATTCAAAGCTTCCAAGAATATTCTTGCAAAGAGAGTATTTGAGGGAGAATTGAGGGTATGTAAGAAGTTTGAATAGAGGTGGTGATCACCGGCGAGGATAAGGGGGAGAGGGAGGGTCGGTCTGCGGTGGAGGTTATTGAATAATTAGGTGGATAAGTATTTATTGAATAATTAGTTGGAGGTTATCGAATAATTAGGTAGGGGACAGATATTAGAGGATATGTATTTATTGAAATATTAGATGGGTTAGAGGATAATAAGTGGATGAGAGGAAGTTAGAGAGTAAGCCAGGAAATTAGAGGATAATTAAGTAAATAGGTTTTTTCTTAAAAAAAAAAAAAAAGAACAATAATCCTAAAGGGAGCCCCACTTTATATCCTTGATCCTTGTTAAACATATTTCGTTTATCGGACAAAATCATAATATCATAGGTAAAATCTTAGTATCATAAGTAGCGGTTTTACCCCTTCATCTATGAAAGGTGCAAATATTACACATTTATTTACGGGTCATTTGATAAACACCAATTGTTTTATCAAGGAGATAAACTTGGATTTTCTCATAATACTATGTTATTATAAATTTTCAAATAATTACACACCAGAAAAGATTGGCTGTTTTCCAGCTCCTCAACTGTATATTCTTATAATTACTGATCTAATCAACAACTGCATATTACAGAATCACGTGTATGGGGGATAACAATGAGATCATACAGCGAGTACATTTCAATATGGCGAATATTTCAACACAATTTCTACATTTTTGGATATTCATTGGGTCATAAAACACTTACCGTGCAGGCACTTCACTTGCTTGACGACTTTACAGAGTTGTAATGGCAAAAGGCTATACAGCGAACATTTCAATATGACCTCTATATATTCGGATTCATCCTCTGTCACAAGACTCTTAACGTGCAGAAACTAGACTTCCCTGACGACTTTCATAGAAGGTACCTGTGTCCCACTCACCTGTTGTGGATGACAACGTCATTAAGTTCACCACAACAGATCTCATGCTTGGCCTTAGATGAGGATCCTCTTGAGTGCACTTATATGCAAGTTGTGCCACCTGCAGCAAATAAAAACCATCAGACAAATGCAGTTTCTAGCTGATGAACTATCCAAAAGACAATAGATTTCCGCCATTAATAGAGTATAAAGTTTCTACCTTAAAAACCGAGTCAAGGGGGTAGTCGTCCCCCAGTCTAGGATCCACCAGTTTCCGAATCTCATTTTGGTCATTCTGCTGTTTGAGAACAGCCTCAAACTGTGAAATTATCAAGAAACATATACATCTTTCAGTACATAGCCTCGAACTGTGTAATCTCCAGCTTTTAAATCATTTAAATCTTTCAGTACATATACATGCATGCTATAGAATCTACTAGATAAATTTTCTCCAGAGTCCTTAGCCTAGTGATAGTGGTTAAGGCACTGATGGCTCGTTCTCCCAAGTCCAGTGAGTCAGCTAATAGCCTAATGGTAATTTTTCACACACACTCATCTTAGCGTCTATTAGTCTAGGTAACACACTCGTTTGACAACCATAACTTCACAAGTTTATCTTATCATTTGTTACCAATCAAATAATCATTCATCCTTTCTACATGTGGTACTCTATACATAGGATGAATTTATTTCATTTTCATGTTCTGAATACATTGAAAGTATCGTCCTAGTTTGAGTGTGAAAAAAAAAAGTAACCTATCGCATAAATGTCATCAATCAATCCCTATGTATACAGGAATGTGAGGTAAACACAATCTCACTGTTCTAAAATTACTACATGCTGTGTATGTCAGACACCCCTGTTGAAGTTATATATAGACAGAGAGGGGAAAGAATAACAAAAAAAAAAATATTCAACCCAATTAAATCTAACTACAATAAAAAAAAAAAAAAAAATAAATAAATAAACCTTATATAGGCATTATAAACAAAGATATAGCTAAGGATGCATAACCCAATGTCTAACTTAAAGCACAAACTACTACGTAAGTAACCCACTAACTCCATTTAAATCCACGTCTCCACATATTCCGCAAAATACTTAGAAACCTAACAAACACATGTTCCTATATCAAACTATAGAAACTACTTTGAATCAATAATCCAATACCCTTCCCCCCCCCCCCCCCCCAAAAAAAAAAAAAAAAAAAAATGACAGAAATTGGCAGGTGGAGCTGGGTCATTTCATAGCATGAAAGCAACTTCAACGGAAAAATTATAAGTAATTAAAGAGAAAAGGTTACAAGGCGGGGCGTGGTTTATTTGGTTTACAATAAGCGTTTCCGACAAAATTGCAATTATTTAACTTCAGCAATAAAACCCACTTCAGAGGGTGTACCAAATGCTTACCATGCCGACAAGGCCCTTCGAGTCAGGACCAGAGGCATTTTGCTTCACTACAGCTGCCTTAGCTGATATGAGCTCATAGAGAACAACTCCAAATGCATAAACATCAACTTTTGGAGAGACCTCGCCATATTGGGCATACCTGTAAATAAAATAAAAGAAAACTAAAATACAATTGGTTATGAATATAATGACGGCTCTTTATTTACATGAGAAAACTCTCCAAAAGATTAACAATCCTTCTAAATATGACAGATCTTCCAATACACACAACAATCCAGGTATATGAACTACAAGAGCAATGCATGGCCCACTCACCTTTTTCTCAGATAGATATGCGCCCCATATTTGCAAGTGCATATGTTATGTGCAATTATTTTTTAAATTTTATTTTATTTTTGGCATATGAGCATTAACACTTTGTTTAAATAGAAATAGAAGGAAAAGAAGAATAGACAGAGAGAGGAGGACAATTTTTCTTGTTTGGGTAAAGGATTGGGGAAGAAGAGAGAGGGATCCATTTCCCCTCTCTCTTCAATAAGCATAATCCCTCGGAAATTGGAGAGATTTGGATTCTATAGAGAAACTGGAGCTCCCTTTTTCCTCCCTTTCTCTTCCCTCCAGTCCTCCACTTCCTCCTCCCCTCCCCCTTGCCTTTCCTTCTATCCAAAAATAGTTACATGATCATGGCCTATGTTACCATGGACTCTTCATTTCATCTCAAGTACCCATGGTGGACCCTAACACTCGAACATTGGGACACTCGAACACTTCATTTTTAGTTCAAAATTATGGAATATTTTTACTAAATAGTCTAGTCGGACTCTTGGACACGTACCCCTGTCACATATGGGTACCTGATTCCATGTAACATAGATTATAGCTATAATAGACTACCTTATGAAGGTACATCCAGGTATATAATAGACCAAATCACCACCATGTTTGCATTTCTTGTAGCAAAGAAATCTACAGCTATAGGAATGGGAACTAGGAGAGAGGCCATATAGTGATGCCTGTTGTCACAGATATTAAGTCAAACCTATGGATTACTTATAACGAGGACAATTTATTACAACATTGTTTGTCTATTGACTTTTCTCCATATACTCTTATCAATGCTTTAAAGTACGGAAAAATTTACATAACTAATTCCACCTTTCATGGACCTTCTCATATTAGTCCCACCTTTTGATGAACTCAATATAATCCCACCTTTGTACACATTCTTTTTAAATTGGACCCTTTTAGAAAATGACCTGCTACAGCAAGTTACGTATATGACATGGCATTATTTACTAATCTAAAGAAACATCGAATAATTTTTTTAGGGGAAGTCAACAATGTCTTACGACTAAAGTTCCCGCCCAATTTAATCAAACCCCCCAACTACCAATTCCCTTCATTTACTCCCCCTCCTTCAACCTCCATACTATTCAACAATGGTGAAACGCCATAAGTAAGAGGTTCATATTGTGCCTTTAGATAAACAACAATTTTGAGGTCAATCTCAGCTTCATACGAAAGTTCCCACCCAAAATAATCAACACTGCAACTCCAATGTCAGCAAATCAGATATCAATCTTAGCTTTCCAGTTGCTGCAATCTAGTTAAGCCTCAACTTCATCACAGTAGCCATCTATTTAATGTCAAATTTGTGAAATAACATACCGCAGCAATTTGTTTGACCTATGTTAATCGGACATGGCTAAAATCGCGAAGTGTCCGTGTCGACACGACACGGCACGGACACGAACACGGGACACGTGTCCGACACCTCACTGTGCACTCGGACACTTTCACTTAGAGTGGAGAGGAAAAAAAACAGAAACATTAAAGAAAAACACATCTTGTTCGAAAACCACTATTGATGTAGAGAAAAAGTGCCATTAAATGGAAAATTTAGAGAGAAAACAATTAAAATTTTTAAAAAAAAAAAATAGGGGTGGACGTAATGAAAAATTTAAAACTTTTATAATATATAGTTTATTCTTATAACTTTAACTGACAAATTGACGTGTCCTCGTACCCGTGTACAAATATCTGACAGAGTCCCCGTGACCTAAAATTTTGGAACTTGCCGGATCGGACACTTGGACATGTGTCCGTGTCCGACACCCATTCCCGAGTCCATGTAACATAGTGTTTGACTATTTTGTTGTTCAATAACTCTGGATTATTTTTAATGGCATGGCAAGTATTTTGTATTATCTTTACAAAAAATATGATGTATGTTCTAAATTTGGATATGGAAAGTATTTTGAAATGACAATGCACACTTATGTTCATTTAACTTCTAATGTTCTTCTAAACATCTTGCCAACGTTTGGCCCTGATTTGACAACATACAAAACAGCTTCATTGTTGTGATATCAATTAGTAAATAACAATCTTTCTATAAAGTTTTGAGCCGGAGGTTGAATATGAAGATCTAGATTTGCTTGACTTTTTATTTCGTGTAGCCATAGATTATTTGTAAAAAAATTACTGGAAAATGAAGGGGTAATATGAGGTGGGTTTTTAAAAACATTGATAGTCCAACAGTCAACGCCATGTCATATACGTAACCTGTTGTAGCAGGTCATTTTTTTTAAAAGGGTCCAATTTAAGAAGAGTGCGTTAGAAGGTAGGATTATATTGAGTTAATCAAAAGGTGGGACTAATATGAGAAGGTCCTTGAAAGGTGGGATTATTTTTGTAAATTTTTCCAAAAATTAGGATTTTACAATTGCAGATTGGATTGCAAAAACACGTAGCAATTAGATATCTTAAATTGTGAATTATATTGAAGGACGGTCTCTATTAATGAGGCACTAAGGATATCTGGCATATATCCAAGTTTATGTGACAACAATTTAGATCAGAGAGAGATTAATCTCACTGTATGCGAGGTTGATTTGGCAGGTTAACAACTATAACCAGGTTGGACCAAGTACACATGTCAATTAATTTGGGAAAGGTGTTCAAATTCTATCATTACTAACAGCTCCGCCCAGCTAATGTCATGGGAGTATTTTTTGGCAATTTCTGATTGGAAAACTACATGCTCAGAAAATGTAACAGGGAAGTTTCTTTCTTACTCTGGAGGCATATATCCAAATGTACCCACAAGACGTGTGGGAGCTGAATAATTTCCAACTTCAGTCAGCTTGGTCAATCCAAAATCTGCAACCTGCAATGATGAAAAAATTTAGGGGAAAAAAACATTTAACAGCTTCCATTTCGAAAAGAAAGGAATCAATCACACCTTTGCATGGCAGCTTTTGTCTATCAGTATATTGGCAGATTTAATGTCACGATGGATATAAACAGGGACTGTGTGCTCATGAATGTACTCAAGACCTCTTGCTGAATCAAGAGCAATTTGCACTCGGGTAGACCAGGGTAGTGGTTCTTTTCCTGAGCACGTAAAAAAAATTATTATTGGCATCATGCCAAGATACATCACCAAGAAGGTTTCCAATAATAGAAATTCACCAGTGCCACGCAGATGTTGGCTTAAATTGCCATTCTCTATAAACTCATACACCAGGAAAAGACACTCCTCAACACAATATCCAATCAAGCGAACCTGCAACCAATAGTATAGATCATTAACGGCATGTAAAAAGCCAATATGGGAATTAAACAAGGTAAGCAAACTTTATCCTCTAATTTAGTACTCAATTAGATAAACTCCTCTCAACAATGTCCTAAGTAATTGGAAGAAGACTTCCCCCCAAAAATGAAGAGGTGGTGATAACAAAAATGCTATTACTCTATTAGACAGCATATCTGACAAGAACCATAGCAGGATTTTCTATGTAACTGATAGTCTTTTCAAATATATAATATACAGCTTCAGCTGCCATTTGAACCTGAATAAGTTGGCTTTTAAGAAGACATGTGAGATTCCAGAAGAAGGCCTGAATAGCTAAATGCATAAGGGGATACTAATTATGGATGACAAGTTAATTTTCAGAGTAGCAGAGCTCCTGAGCTTCTCCAGAGAGAATGTACACTCCCAACTCCCTCCATTCAAAATTATCTGATTACTTAACTTTCCTCAATCTATATGATCTGTCAAAAAAAATCTATCTCTACTTTCATAGTTTCATCTCATCTTCAGAGTACAGATTCACCAAATCTCATCTAGCTTCGATTCGCACATAACTAGGTCAATCATTAAGTACTGGTACTGGAGGAGGTTCAAATTCAGTTATTGAGAAGAATTTGAAAGAGAAAGGAAGCACCGAGGGCTTTTTTTTTTTTTTTTTTTTTTTTTTTTTTTTTTTTTTTTTTATATTAGAGAGATTTGGATTGGAATCAGTTACAATTTAAAAGATGGTGTTATGGTGTTAGCATGAGTAAAAGTTAATATATGACAGATTTTCCTATATAGAAAAAGTTCTTGACACTTTGGAATATTTGTCCAAATTTAGTAAACAACTAACATTGACCATAAATTCTCGATATTGCTCACTTCAAAGCATAGTCATGTGGGATCTTCAGTGGCGGATCCAGGATTTCCGAGCTTGTGAGTCACCCTGAACTCAAAGGCTTACATCGTGTCAAAAGGCTTCCAGGGAAACAAAGGCACTCGGTTGTGTAAATACCAACCATATGCTACTATTACCACCAAAAATACCATCATATGACTCCTAACATATAAGTTCCATAATCTAAAGCTCATAACATAGCAATAGTAAAGCTTGTTTAATTTTATAAAATTGATAAGTTAGCCAAACTAACATAACCCATTACTTTTAATCTAGTTGTAATATAAGCTCTTTTGTTCTTGTTTAAAAAAAAAAAAAAAAAAAAAAAAAAAAAAAAAAAACAAAAACAAATGCCATTACTTTGGTCATGCTATATATAAATATACTTTACAAATGCCAGTTGCAACAAATTCTATTACATTTTCCAAGTCTACAAAGTACAAACTAACACAAAAACAAGACCTTTTGCACAATAGGGATTACAAAAATACACCAAAATTTCTCATAATTAACTAATAAACAGTTCAAAATTGATAATTCTACTACAATGGGGACTTTTATAAAAAAGGTAAATATAATCAGAACAGAGAAATTTGCTTTTAACATTGTACCTTGAAATATAAAACAGATAAATATAAATCCAGCAACTGCAATTGACAGAAGCATTTGAATAAAGCTGAACTATGAGCAATTTAAATTACAACTTAAAATTAAATTACCAAATAAAATCTTAAATTTCATAATTAGTAGCTCAAACGCATGATTAATCAACTAAAACAACAATTTCAGAAGAGAAAAAAAAAAAAAAACAGAATCAAGAACACAACATAAACCCATAATAATCAAAAAAACATTGAATATAAAACAAGAAAAAACAATTGAGAATCGAACTGCATAAAATGGAAGTATTGCAAACTTGGAGAAAGCTCGTACCTTTCTAATTGTATTAAGAATAATAATCTCCAAACAAAAAGGGTGATAAAATTTGAAAATTAAAAATAGAAAGTCACAGGCTCATAGCATTCGGTGGTCGACTGGTCACTCCGGTCAATTAGTCGGTGGTCTCCGTAGATCCGAAGGCGATGGCACCGTGGTCCGTGGCCGCAGGCTTGCAGATAGCAGAAACAAAGGCCTTGTTGTCTTGAAGGCTTGAAGGAGTGATTGAGTGAAGAGGTGGCCTGATGCGTACGTGTGAACGACACGGTGGGCTGGTGGCTGGTCTGGCACTCCGGCGTTGGTGGTCGGCTGGTTGATGTGAGAGAAGGAGTTAGGGTTGTGAGTTGTTAGAGAGGGAGTTAGAGACTGGTTGTGAGAGAGGGAGTTGAATGACGCGTTTTTTTTTTTTTTGCACTGCTGAGTCACGTGACTCAGCGTGCACACATATAGCTCCGCCACTGGGGATCTTGTTAGATTCGTCTCGATTTATGTTTTCCAAATATCAAATTTCATAATTTTTTAGCATACAAAATTGGATATATATGGTTAAATATACAGCATCAGAGTCCGTGCAAATAGTGAGTGTAAAGAACTTTCAAGAACAGAGGTATAAAGTTTTTGACAATATGATAAAGTTAGTGAAATGTACCCTATTATTTAGGGAAGTTGTAAGAGTAAACAGTATGATAGCTTCAATTCAATTCCTTCCCTGTAACCAAATCAATTTCACGTAGAGAATTTACCTCCACATATTTACAAATCAAGATTGGAGGTCCTCACCCTATGATATCTTCAAACGCTAAGCACTCAAGACTCTTTGGAGCCAAAAGGAGTCCTACTTATAACTTCTTGGTGGACTCCTTATGCAGCAAATAAATCCAATTATATCCTTTTCAGTGCTTTTTTCAGAATTTAAAACCCCTAAAGTAGTCATAGTCCTGTCTACCGGCTACTGGACGTCTGGACCAGGGCAAGACAAAGCATGTTAAACTAGAAAATCAATTAATGTTTTGAGGACAGGATTAAACCTCTGCTTAACAGAAAGTACCACTAAAAGCCCTGTAGAAAGCTAGTAAAATGAAAACTTCCCTAAATTATAACATGACTACATATAGTCCACAGCTCTACACCTTTGGAAATCACTGTTAATCAAAATGAAAGTCTTTTCTAGAGGTTAAGCACACCAAAGCTGTGTACATGTCAGAAAAACAAGCAAAATCGTGCAATAAAGAGGAGACATACTGGTCTACTATGGCAAAAGGCCAAAAAATTGCAGAGCCACAGTATAATGTCAGCTAGCAAATGTTTCATAATTCATAAATACAAAGTTCATGAAGCATACCAGATTCAAGTGATGAACGCGAGTCAAAACCTGTAACTCAGCAAGAAATTCTTTAGATGCTTGCATGTCCATCTTCTTGACAGCTGCTTTCTGTGAAGATTTCAGGCATGCAATTAAGAAAAAGGAAATCAGGAATTATAAAAATGCCGCAAAAGAGTTCATACTATCTTTGGCCAGACTAAAAGTTACTTGTCAAGGGTAATGAGAAACAGACAAATATATAAGGTTTTTGTACATGCACAAGGAGTGTTAATAGTTCTCCGCTATGCCCACCTCATTTTCCCCCCATATAAAGCGAATTAACTACATTGGAATCCAAATTGGGGTACTTTCTATAATTTACAACTTTTTAAGATGTACCCTATGCTACTCAGCTAAAAACTTTGCAAGTATTAAGAAGTCCAATATAGAGAAATATCACACTACTAATCCAAAATTACCATAAGAGAGGGTTTGTTAATACTTCACATGAAGATTATGTACTGTGAAAAAGTGAATTTCATGCATGAATATCATTTTGTAAACATTATCAGTATAAGTGCCATACAAACCTCTCCTCTCAGCTCTGCATAGTAAACATCCCCAAAACCACCTGAACCAATCTTGTTAGCCATGCTGAAGTTATCTGTTGCTAGGGCAAGCTCTTCATATGAAAATTCAACTGATTTGTCAACAGTAACACCCCTGTTTCCAGCATCCAATGAACTTGCAGTTTTACGTGAACTTCCCTGAACTGTCATCATAAGTCAGTTGAGCATAGTTTGAACCTTAAAATATAATAATCAAGATAAATGCAATTATTTCTGACTTCCTATTAAATTAGTAACGTTAGCTATAGAATAAAGAATAAGTGAGCGTATGATTAACTGTGAAGTGTGAACTATATGGTTTAAAAAGAGTATATAATCTGACAATAATAATATAATTACTAAAATCATCCCCCATCATCACCGTAATCTTACTTCCAATCATAGACCAACAGCACATATGTTTTAATTTTTCCTCTTTCCATTTCTTCTCTCCCTCTCTCCCCCCTCCCCCCCCCCCCCCCCAATTGTTGCTGAGTAATAGCTGTTGTAGGATGCAAATAATTGGTCAAAATCTTACCAGACTGTCCTAGCCATTCTCCAGAGTTGTCAAGGAATAGTGAAGCTTTCTTCTTTTTCTTTCTTCTCATATGCAAAAATAAAACAGCCAGCATAATCACCACAGCTACAACTGCCACAGATATAACAGCAATGACTGCACCTGAAAGTCCTGCTTGCACAAAAGGAGACAGTTACTTCACATAGCATTAAAACTGGATTTTATGAGCTCATTGATGTTCCATTCATGACAGCAACAAGATCTATCCCTAATAAGTCAATGTTGAAAGGGACCAAAGCACCTGAGCTGCAAAAGACAAAAAGTAAACAAAAAAAAAAAAGGAAAGTTAATACATAATTTAAAGATTTCTAACATGGCATGAAACTAATCCAGTTCATCTTTATCACACTCATTCCACACCAAAGCTCTAAGCTTTGGAATATCTAATCTTGGATACACGTAAAGATGGCATCAGGCCTTGCCAGCCCATGGCATGACACACTATTATGCGTGCTGGGCCATGCCTTTGTTTGAAAAACACAAGGCACAACACGGCACACCCCAACACGACAAAGCACACAAAAGTATGTTAAATGAGGCTTAGGCACACAAACATGGCATGGTGGCACGTGGGCTTGGGCCGTACATGGGCTACCCCTTGAAAAACTTTTGGCATGGCACATCATGACACGTAGCGAGTAGACTCAACCGTGGGCTAGGTCTAGCCATGCTCAAGGCATAGGGGCTTGGTACGAGGAATGGGGGTTAAGCACGAGGCACGGCCCATAGTCATCTTTAGGTACACGAAGTCTCCTATATATTAAGATACAAATGCCATTTACATATTTTTCTATGAATCTTTGTTGGTTGTATATTTACATCGCACCAAATAACTTCCAACATACATTTTTCAAACCTCCTATCATGCATTAGTTTTTGAAATTTTAGATTTCAAGAAGTTACTCATTCTTCTCTAAATCAATTTTAATTTGTCCTATGTTTGCTAGAAATGCCTATCATACATCCAGATCATATGACACAAATCAATAAATATTTCCAAAGCTTATATATGACCATCATGACCCCTCCCTAAACCTCTTCACTTGGCCCTATATAAAATTATCATGTTTCTTTCTTTTCCATCCTAACACAGTTTAGATTGCTGCTAAGAAGCAAGCCAACAAACCCTTTGACATCTACATGAACAAGGCCATGAAGAAGACAACCAGATCCATTACTGGAAACCTCATGTCAAATAAGGGTATATTTATAACAAAAAATGACTAGGAATATAGGACACATACTCCCTCTATACCAAAATAATAGCCTACTTTTCAGTATTTCACTTTGGCATTCAAACCTTGTCAAGTGGTATTCTTCTTATACACTATATAATTGTATAAGCTAGTAAGCTACAAAATGATACTCTTATAAAACTACCTTCTAAGAGATTTCTAACAATGATATTTGGTTTAATCCATTGAAGTCATATATTGCCTAATAATATACACCCTTTGTTTCTTTTTAATTTCACTTACCTTTTCACAGAAATCAAGAAATACTTTAAATTTAAGAGAGAGCAACAACAACAGAGGTAGTACATTAATACAAATATTATAAAATTATGGTTCCAACATTAGCAATTGCTTGTATTACACATCATAAATAAAGTAAGCCAACTATTCTTTTTAAAGCTTTGGGAAAAGTCCAGAGGTCAATCTTCTATAAGAGGGAACAAAACTAAAGTGATGGGTGGACATTGTTGATTTACATACATATCTCCCCATGGTAATAGAAAAGTGGTGCGAACAGTTAGTGATGAGCACATACATATGTAAACGAAGGGAACACTAACACAGATATATTCGTCAAAATCTGAAGAAAGCAAGGAAACTATGACGAAACATTGTTTGACTGTAATAAACTAAAAAACTTAACCAGAGTAATCATGATGAAATTTTCCCTATATATATGCATACAGTATTACCATCGAATTGTACCTTGAAGGCAGAGGAGGATATTGTCCAGTTTTATCTGTAACAAAAAATAAATAATAAATAAATAAATTAGTGAAACAATTTCAACTTTCAAGAGCATGTACAAGGAAAACAATCACAAGCATGTTCCATAAACAAAAAGCATACGCTTGGTTTTTCTTACTTTATTACAAATTTACAATTTGCCCAGGCTTTATTTTCTCTAGTGAAGATTAGCCCCCCCCCCCCCCCCCAAAAAAAAAAAAAAAAAAAAAAAAAAAATTAAGGCAAGATACGAAGCAGGTGAAATACCATAATACTCATTTATTGATATATCTTGATGGTAAAAGTGTTAATTATCATAGAAGAGAACATATAATGATATTATTTCTTAGCCTATCCCTTGGAACATAAGTTCAACCAAATTATTTTTATTATATATAGAACAGCAATAAGATCACAGACACTAGTCCTCTTCCCCCCCCCCCCCACCTTTTCTATCTTATCACTTGGAAGGCATACAGCAATATGGTCAAGGCTTGAATTAGGATAGGTGGTAAGACTGGTAGCAAAACTATCAGCAAAGACTAAGGCCTTACAAAACTTTGCTCCAAGTGTTAGTGTATCTGACTTATCAATAATGAGAATGCGGCCTTCTACGTTTTCATGTGACAGGCTCCATAACTTTTTCCCATTTGGAGACATATTGGTTTTCCAGCTGACTGGATGGGTTCATAAGTTCATTATTTGATCTTCACTTTGTCTTCTGTTATAAAGTTGCCTAAACCAGATCTTATTTTACGCTAGTCAATTTTTCCTTAATTAGAAAACTCTTTTTCATATTTTAACTGCATATCAAGAGTTTACCAAATCCATGACAATTGACACCAATACCGAAGGCCCATTGCTTCTTGGATTTGTCAATTCAATTCTAGCTTATCTTTTTCCATCAGTAAATTCCTTCTCGGCTTCTCATAGAAAAATATATTCAAAACACTAAGGAATTACAGGAGTTAATTCTTCTGTAAAGCCAGCTACCTCTCATCTTCCCCAAATAAATATTAGTTACATCAAGTTATGCATACACTCCCTTAAAACATTGTTGCAACATATTAAAGTCATGACTACTTCTCACAATTAGTTTGACATCATTAATTCCTTGAAAGATCTGCTCCTTAAGTCTGAGAAAGTCAATCCATCTCACCAATACACTTCTTTTACTTATTCGAGAAAGATAGAAACCTATCAATAATTGTCTTTGAAGCTTGAAAGACTAAGATTCATAAGGCTCCAGCCTCACCCTATTGGCCATTTCAAATACGCTAGTGATCTTTTTCCCTCTTAGAATTATTAGCTCCTGTCTTCCCCTCTCAAGCATCAAAGTTGACATTAACGAAAACTTAACTCCTGACATCAGAGGGGGTTAATGAGGTACAACCATACAAGTTAGCCAATTTATTTTAATCTTAATCATCTGAGTCTCTAATCATGCACTACGTTTATTTATTTATTTATATGACTTTGGGCTAACAGAGACTCAAAGGCTGTGATCCAGAATGAACATAATCTCAATTCTTGGTTACCCCCACACCCAATACTGAGACTTTGTGCATCAAGCATTCTATTTGGTTTGTCTTGAGCATTCATATTTCAGATTATAATGAAAACTCAAAAAACCAACCAAAAAAAGAGAGGGAAAATCACATATATGATCACATATTCACACCTAAGCTCTTTTTTTTGTGAAGAAATGCACACCCTCAAAACAGAAACAACACAACCACTGTTGCTCTTGTACATTAAAATTCACTAAAAACAGCAATTCCCAAAGTAACACATAACCAGATAATTACTTACTTCTACATTTAATTGAGTAGTTAAACTACCATCATAAAAGTAAATCAAATCAATCACTGCACAAATAGTACTCTGAAGATATTTATACCTTTAGCAGGAATAAACACAATCCCAGTCCCAGCACTAAATTTCGCATTTGGGTTATACCTCTGCAGTAAACTTGGTGTCGAATTCGAAAACTGGGCAATAGAGCTCAAACTATCCTCAGGACGAAGTGGATAAGTCAAAAAAAAACCATAGTTCTTATCAACATCACTATTCCCACAACAGCAATTGACAGGAACCTTAAGAATGGAATTTTCAGGTACATTATTTGTGGGAAAACTATTGAAATTCTGAATTAAATTTGCAGTAGTAAGATTTGAATAGTATTCCTGAGCAATTTTAGCGTAAGTATCACCCTTTTGAACTTTATACTCAAACTGACCCAATAATTGCCCATCATTAAGGCAACTACATGAGAACAGAACGTTGATCCTGCTACCAGATCTAACCCTATCTTTGTCAGGAACACTTGGGTTGTAACTGAGTATATCATCAGTAGAAGCTCCCAGAACTTGGGCTATGAATGTGATATTTGCCCCTGTCCATACATAGTATGAAGCTAAAGCTGGACACCCTTTTTTGCATTTTGATTCGACCATGAAAGATGAAGAACTCCATAGAAGAAGAAGTAACCAAAAAGGTGACAATAGTTTTTGAAGAGACGGCATTAAGATCCGAAAAAAAAAAAAAATAAAGCCCCAACAACCCAACTCAGAATGCCAATTTTCAAGTGTTGGATTATTTTAAAGGCAGCTACTTTACAATAAGGGAGAAAAGGAGAGTAGGTAGCAAATTTGGGTTAAGTGCATAGAAATGATAGTTTAATCAAAAAATAACCACTTTCTATTACTAATCGACACAATCATTGGATCCTCACATCCATGTTTGGAATACTATATATAACCGATCAGATTGATCACTACCAAGTTCTTTTCTTCATCAAAAAATGCACAATTTTACACCAAAATTCCTATCTTCATCAAACAATACTGATGAAACTGGATGACTTATCACACCCTAGTTCTTAATCAAATAATGCACAACCCTATAATTACTAACAACACATTACTATTGTTCTTCAAAGATAAAATCACTGAAAACAACCAATAACAAAATCAACACTTCCCACATTCAATTGGTGATCAAACAGAAGCACATACTAATAATACCAAACAATATAATGAAACCAATGAATCATAGCAAATAAAGTACTCTTGAGAAAAGGTATACCTTTAGCAGGTAGAAACACAATCCCAGTTCCAGCATTAAAATCCACATTAGGATTATACTTCTGCAGCAAACTGGGCGTCGAATTCGAAAACCGGGCAACCGAGCTCAAACTATCCTCAGGACGAAGTGGGTATGTCAAGAACAACCCATATTTCTTATCAACCTGACTACTCCCACAATAGCAACTAACTGGTATATTAACAATGGAATTCTCAGGTACATTATTTATGGGAAAATCATTGAATTTCTGAATCAAACTTACAGTAGTAAGATTAGAATAGTATGTATGAGCAAGTACATCATAAGTATCACCCTTTTGAAACTTATACTGAAAAATCTGACCCAAAAAATCCCCATTATTTAGGCAATCACATGAATAAGGAACATTAACCCTTACAAAAGATGGAACCCTATCTTTGTCAGGAATACTTGGGTTGTAACTGAGGAAATCATCTCCAGTAACATTCAGAACTTGGGTTATAAATGTAAAATTTGATTTATTCCATACATAGTATGATGCTAAAGCTTGACACCCTTTTTTGCATTTTGATTGTACCATGAAAGTTGATGAAGAAATCCATAAAAGAAGAAACCAAAGTGGTAATAATTTGGTTTGAAGAGACATTAAAATGAAAAATACCCAGAAATTTGAGATAGAAATTGAGAATTATTGAGTGATGAATTTGTTTATAATTTGGCAAAGTGGGTAGAATAATGAAGGCAGGATGATCCTTTTGTTTGAATGTTGACTGGTGGACATTATTGTTGGACCGTCAACTAACTAGAGTAATTAATTCTAGATTTAATCAAATAGTTTAGATAGGAAATCGGCAACTAGGCGAAAATTCGTACACCCCACACCCATAAGGTTTGTTTGACACTAGTATATAGTAATTCACACTCGTTTTATCCGTCAACAATCATGTGATACTAATAACACTTTGCCGTTAAAATATTACCCATAGGCCCTTTTTGGTTGAAGAGATTTGGATGGAAAAGAAAAGAAAGGAAATTGTTTTAATCATATTCTCATGTTTGATTGAATAAATGACATGAAAATCTAAAAGAAAGGAAGGAAAGTGAGAGGAAAGTCTCTTAACAAAGTTTTGGCTTTTCTTTCCTCCCAAAATTGGAGGAATTTGACTAGAAAGAGAAAAATAAAAGTAATTTCCTTTCTCTTCCCTTCATTTCCTTTCATCAACCAAATATTGGAAAATAAAATCATCTTTCTTTTCCTTTTTTTCCTTTCTTTTCCCTTCCCATCCTTTCTCTTCTTTTCCTTTACTAATATTGAACCAAATAAAGCCATAATGTCATACGTAACGTTATTCAAGTACTCCCTTCGTTTTTTTATTTTAATGCATCACTTTAATTTTTACACTAATCACACATCATGATTGACTTAATTTACTTACCTCTATAAAATAAATAAATGTTATTATATGATATATCATTAGATTAGTCCTAATGTCTAATTTCATAATATAATTTTATTATAAATTTTACTTATAGACAATTAAATATATTAATGGTCAAAAGTGTATCTCGGCAAATGTGCCGGTCAAATTGATGCAAATTAAAAATAAAAAAAATAGAGGGAGTAATAAATTAAATAAATAAATAAATAACTCGTTATAGGTTATGACCAAAATGTTCTTAGATTATTAACTCACTTCACCTACTTTCTCCTCCCACTCTCATTTACCTGACCCCAGCTGCCACCACTAAAACAACCACCACCCAGATTACTACCATCACCAAGGACGTCGACACCTAATAACACCCAAGCCATCATCAGTCACACTGCCACCACCACCGATACCTTCCATGACTTAAATATTTGACATAATTCAATTTAATAATTGTTAATTTTTTCGTTGTTACCACAAGGGTCAATGGGTTGAATTTACATCGAGATTCAGATACAAAATCGTATCTTTGAAAGTAGATTTAGGTCCAAATTTAAAATGGCTGGATCTATAAAACTCCAATCATTTTGAGTCGATCTGGGTACATACACGTGTTATATGAGCATCACACAACACACGGTAAATTAGTCATTTGCTGCAAAATATTAAGTTTCAATGGTATATTTTGTGTACCTTTATAAACAACGGGAATCATTATAGTGTTAATGGTACATTTGTTATACTATTAGAGGGTGTTTGTTTAGTGGGATAGAAGGGGTGGGACAATGAATAAAAAAAATATAGGGATAGAAGAAGGGATTTGTTAAACGTCGCCCGCAAATCTCCACATAAAGCCCACAAATATTTTTACTTTGACTCTTTTGCCCTTTTCTAATTTTTACCGAAACCGTAATTCACTCTCACGAAGAATGTGGAGCTGGAGTGGATCGCCGAGGGACACCGAAGAGCCGTCATCGTCGCCGGAAAGCGAGATAATCCGGGGGAAAAATTACGAAAAGTAGGGGTGGCGTCTGGTCAGGACGCCGCCACCATGGTTGTGGCGTCCTGGCCAGACGCCGCCACCATGGCTGTGGCGTCCTGGCCAGACGCCACCCCTACTTTTTGTAATTTTTTTTTTTTTTTTTGTAATTTGTGATTTTTTTCTTTTTTTTTTGTAATTTTATTTAAACTTTTTGTAATTTTTTTAAAATTTTATTTAAAGTTTTTGTTTTTTTTAATTAAACATTAACACAAAAAATTCAGATTTAAAAAAATATATATACATTAGAAATAAAAACATTAACACATAAAACAAAAATATTAAACATTAACAAAAGAATTCTGATTTTCCAAAAAAAAAATATTAGACAAAAAAAAAAAAAAAAAAAAAAAAAAAAAGTGGTAGGGCGCCTGGCCAGGACGCCCAGCCCCTGGTGGTGGCGTCTGCTCCGGCCGCCGGGACCAGGGGGCTGGCGTCTGACCTGGACGGCCAGCCACGGCGGTGGCGCCTCTGGAAAACACCACAACCGTGGCTAGGCGTCCAGGTCAGACGCCAGCCCTTCTGGTTCCGGCGGCCGAAGCAGACGCCACCACCAGGGGCTGGGCGTCCTGGCCAGGCGCCCCACCTCTTCTGTTTTTTTTTTAAAAAAAATTTTAAAAAAAAACCCTGCCACCGTGAACCGTCCTTCCCTCCGACGCTGTGGCCGCCAAGTCCTTGCCTTGCCGCCTCAACATTGCCGTATTTTCGGGTGATTAGAGTGTGGGTATGGGTTAGATTTTTTTATTTTAGGTTTAGGGCAATAAGGTAAATTCAATATAGATTTGTGGGTTTTATGTGGAGATTTGCGGGCGATGTTTAGCAATCTACTAGAAGAAATGTAGTGTTTGTTAGGATATATTTTCTTCAACTTATTTCAGGTACTTATTACTTATTCCTTACTAAATTCATATCAGATTAGATCGGACCAGAAACATTCCGATTAGACCGTATCAAAATTTTTAATTATCATTTACTTATTGCTAAATATCTTTAATTGTGTATTATAAAAAATTATGAAAATTACATATTTGAAAAGTTCATAATGAGACAAATCTACCAGGATCCATTTAGATAATCTTTTTCTTTATAGATTAGTATTAAAATGCGGTCAAAGTTTAGTCAAATTATTAAATCAAGTCAAACCAGATCTGATAATAAAAAATCAAATCATATCAGATAAGAACTTATTAAAATCAGACCAGATATCCTTATTTCAGGTGAAGAGAACAACTCCTGAAGAGGGATGAAAGATTAGAAGGGGGTTAGGAATAGGGATTAAAACACCCATTTATCTCTCTATTTCTATAACTAAGGGGTGGTATAAGAGGAAGGGATAAGAAATGAGTTTTAAAAGACCAAATTACTCTTAATGAAATTGAAAGGGTAAGAAGAAATGGCAGAAGTTAGTAAGAGTATTTTATAAATTTATTACTTATACCTAATTTGTTTCCCAAACTTACCAAACATAGGATATATTTTTATTTATTATTGTCCCACTTATTAATCCCCTATCTTTATCCTCCCTTTTTATCCCTTTTATATCTATGCCTCCAACCAAATGTCCCCTTAGTATCATTGAAATTTACCTGTTCTATTTGTAATACCATTACACTATAGGTTGCACACCTGACTTATCATGGGTGGGTCCCCTAATAAGAGATTCCTGATACGCTGAGACTTGAAACCTCCCTTAAGCGACATTAAATTAATTATCCCTCAAGCCTACCCTTTAAAAAAAAAAATCTCTTGTTGGTTAGGTATGTACTCCCTTCGTGTTTTAATAAGTGTTACACTTTGAGCGGCACACATTTTCAGACAATTTAATTGACTTAAGTAAAATTAGAGGTTAGTGGGGTACTTGAAGTATTACAAATATTGTAAAGTAATAAATGTGAGAGGAAGTAAATAATAATAAAAAAAAAGTACTACTCCGTAGTAGCTTTGGTTGGAGATCATAACCAAAGAATTATAATAATAAAATTAACCTTTTTGCAGAAAAAAAAAAGTGTGGATTTATTATTATTCTTCCTACTATAATTCCATTCTTTGGAGCTTTTCACTAACACGCTACATCCTCCCCCTGACCCCTCTCTCCCCTTCATTGAAGCGCATACTCTAATTTCTCCATTGAAGCGGCTTCCGAGCTCTATCTCCTCCATTGAACCGGCTTCTGAGGTAAGAAATATATTTTTCCTGTTTTTAATCAAAGAATATCAATTTCACTATTTAGGGTTTATTATCGTTAATTTAACTGTCAGTACAGTCTGATTAGGGTTTATTGAACTATTAATTACTATTACTGAATTTATATAAGATTATAACGATTGATTTTGTTGCTAGAATTTTTCTATGTGCAATTTACATTGATATTATCAAGCGAAAAGAATTCAATGTGATTTTTGGAGCCTAATTTGATAAATGAGTCAAATTTGGTTGCTAATTTATTGTAAACTGTTGTTTATAACCCTTTATAATCGTGATTTTTAGAGCCTAATTTGATAAATAAGTCATATTTGGTTGCTAATTTATTGTAAACTATTGTTTATAACCCTTTATAATTGTGATTTTTGGAGCCTAATTTGATAAATGAGTCAAATTTGGTTGCAAATTTATTGTAAACTACTGTTTATAACCCTTTATAATTGTGATTTTTGGAGCCTACTTTGATAAATAAGTCCTATTTGGTTGCTATTTTGTTGTAAACTGTTGTTTATAACCTTTTATTGTAGGACAGAACACAGAAACTATGATTATGAACCTTTCCTCTTTAGGCCCTAGGCGGCTGCCCCTCTTTTCCTGGCTCAGAGATGGCCTTGATATGATTATTCGAATAACTTGATTACTCGATGAATTCGATTACTTGAATGATTTATTTTTTCTGTGGTTATGACTGTCTAAGATAAGTTTGGATGTTTGCTGATATAGATTTTGGTTGCATTATTGTGTTAGAAGAATTAGACTTTGTTGCTGGCATAAAGAATTTGAGATGAGGCTATTGACACACAACATGCTATCTTCAAACATTAAAGGGGTAACAGACGGGTTCCCTTTAAAGATAGAGGCGGAGAAGGTGGTGGAGAAAGAGGTCGATATGAATACAGATTTCCTTAAGAACATCTTCACCAAGATCGAGTGGAAGCCCTTTGTTGAAGCTGCCAAGACCTTGGGATATTCTGAACTGCCTGAAGATGTTGATCCTTCTCTACTTGACTCTCAAGATTTTCTCACCAAGTTCCACCATGCGCTCCTTGAGATTCACCTTGAAGAAGGCGCTCTTGTTTGCCCTGAAACTGGCCGTAAGTTCCCTGTTAGTAAAGGTATCCCTAACATGCTTCTTCATGAGGATGAAGTCTGATAATTTAGGATTTTATTGACTTGTTTGTTAGTCGTTTGCTGGTACTCGAATGGTTTGTACTTTGTAGTAGAGAATGATAAGCTCGGGACTAGTTCTGCTGAGCTTGTTCTGTTTTTATTTATTGGGATGAATTGTCACAATGAAGTTGTAGATTTTACTGGAAATCTTAATGCAAGTTTTTTGGTCTATTTTCTACTGTGAAGCTTGTGCATTGTTTTCTTTTCTATACGTCAAGATGGCCACATCTAATTTTAATCTTGTTATCTCTGCTCCCATTTTTGTAATGTTTGATTATACATGATCGTGTTGATTTTAGCAGGATGGTGTGGCTAGTACATGGCAGTATGGCACCACAGAACTTGCTTACATTCCGGTTTCATATTCATTACCTTTTTACTCTTATTTAAATGAATCTGTAGTAGTATATTATACATATATCTGATCAAACTTCAATCCTGGTGCTCTCTATGAAATACATAACTTATCTACAATAATATTGGCAAATCAAACATGTAATGGTGAAAAAATAAGGGGATTTGTAACAGATGAAGGGTACTGTAGAAAATTAGGCTTCAATCTCTATGTCTAGAAGCTCATGACCTGCATAGGAACTACTTGGACCACGGACGTAAAGAGAGGACAATAACCAGTATGATGATGAGCAGCAAAATTATGGCAAAGCAAGTCCATTTTCGGGTATTCTTCTGGGATTTTCTAGCTTGCTGCAGTTGGGTTGTTCCCCTCCGCACAAAGGAATTAGCCCTGCCAACATTGGTCTCAATGTCGTCTATTTGCTCCCCTTGATGCTGAACCAAAACTGCTATGTCGAGAAATATCTGATGTAGTTCCATCAAGCTTCTTTCTATGTCTTTAACAGCATCGTGTCTCTCTTGAATCTCAGCAATTGTATCTAGTATCTGTCCTCTGCCCTGCATTCGCATCACAATGATTTTGATCACACATTAAGCCATACATATCTTCTAAACAATGGTAGTTATAGTAATTTATTTTGGCAATGATGATGAGTTTGGAATTGAACCGGTTTTCAGTTTTTCACTCTATTATTTTTGCACCCTGAAGACTTGCTCAGTTCTTTTAATGGTTGGTGACTTTGAACTAAGGCGCTCTAAGTTCAGTTTAAAAATTCCTATACAAGTATCTACTTTCTATTTTTCTAAACATTCACTCTTTCACAATACATTTCTTAAATGATAAATATTCAAATTAGATTTCTTATTTCCCCATACGTCTTAAATGAGATGTATTTATCCTAAAGATTATTGTGTATAGAGGTTCTTAGATCTGAAGCATATGAATTTTTTTTATTTTATGCTCAGCAATTTGCATGTCACAATTTTTTTGTCCTCTGTGCTCCGTTTTAATGTTAAGGGATTTTTTTTTTTTTTTTTCCCTGATTCCATGCATTTGATTTGTGGACATTCATATATTTATATGCAGAACATAGTATAGAAAAAAAGTGGTTATGACAGAACGAACCTGCTGTTGAATGGCCTTCTGCAGGAAGGTTTCGCTCTCTCCGCTGCTAATCAGCAAATCAACTGTCTTCTCATCTGGATTCTCCCCTGTCACAGTATAATACCTCCTCCCAACTGTCTCTTTATACTCTTCGTTAATCTTCGCTCTCAGCTCCTGAAACTCATCCATCTTGTCTTTAAGTTTCTTCCCTAGACCCCCAACAACCGATGTCCTAGTCCGGTCTGTTGTGCTTCCTGGACCGCAATCTGGCAGGCTACGACTTGCAACATTGGACTTGTCTAGGGCCTGAAGGCACTCCTTGATGTGTTTCGCCTTCTTCATTGTCTGGTTCACATCTTGGTCCATCCTAGACCGGATTGCCTTCACTACACCAGATTTGTGTGCTGTCTTGCTCTCCTCATGCGCCGCCCTCAGTTTGTTGTGGAGCTCCTCTATCTCCTTCAAATCCTCCTCAATCTTCGCCACATCTTCAAAGAACTTCTCCAGGTTTGCACCAACATCCCCCATCTCTATGTCACCGGAACCATTCTTCCGGTGCTGGGAGAAACTCGATAGTAAGTCGTTCATTGTCGCTCTTAACAAAAAACTTTAATTTAGTCTATGATTACTGGGTCGTTTTGGGAGAATCCACAAATTTTTTCTCTCCTCACCTGTTTGATTTAGAAAAAGGGAGGAGTTTGATGCATTTAGAAGATATATTGTCGTCAAACTTGGGTTTACAGATAGAATATTCAACTACTAAAACTTCCAGAAAGATATGTAAAGTCAATATATGAAAATATTGTTAGGAAATTTATACTGTTTCGGATTATTATTAATGCTGAATATCTTAGACATGTAATCAACCGAGTATAAGAAAGTGGGAGGAAGTAACGCAGGATTTTCTTGATTTTGCTTTGCAATGAAGAATTTACTACTTTGTATGTAATTTTCTTATTCTTATTTTGGCTTTTACACGTCTTTGACCTTGATATATAAGAATACTTGGTATTATTTTTCTCTCAAAGTGTATAAATAGTTGTTTGGAATAAGTCTTTTTAGACATCATTTTATTGTATGACCAATTTGGTAGGATTCCCCTGTTTCATAATTTGAATAAAAATAAAATAAAGAAAAATTACAACGTGTTGAAGTAAGCTATATATGTCTGCCAGTTTCATTTTCAGAATGTGAATGGGCTAGTTCGGAATACTTTATGAATTAAAATTAGGTTATAACCCATGTTACTTCCTTTGTTAGTTCACTTTAATCATCATTTGATAAATATATGATGTTACTTATAGTTAAGTAGGGTTGTTGTTAGAACTGTCTCGATAGATATTTCAAAATATCATAGTTAAGTAGGGTTAGAGTTTTTTAAAAAAAAAAAATATTTCAACTATGGAGTACACAATTAATTATACTAGTATTAAGGGTTAAAGTTATACGTTGATAAGCATGCAAGTCAAAATGAAACAACTAAAAAAACAGAAGAAATCTATTAACTATTACTAAAACAAAACGTTGATGATGTCATCAATTTCTTAAAGTGCTTACGTGTCAAACTCTCATTAAAAAAAATTCCCTCCAAATTTTACATATGATGTCATTAATTTTTTTATTTTTTTTTATTTTTTGTTTTGCTAGAAACTAGGACCACTGTGAAACTTGAATTTGACATCAATATTGTTGTATATACTCCACACTACTTTTGGATATTCATAATACAACAATATTAAATAGACATAGATATTGGTAGCTAATTATACAATTTTATTTTTCTTTTGAATAAATAAGTATATACACATTTATTTAGCTTCCACTCTAAACGTATAAGCTTAATGAATTATACATTTATACAACATTAATATATTTAATTAAATATCATTTTAGTATATTTTTAATAACATAGTAAATATTACATTATGACACAACATTAAATAATAACCATTTTTTTTATGCACATGTTTTTTTTAGTATTTTTATAACAATTTTTTTTTTTTAAAAAAAATAACGAGCCAAATCATATTAAAAAGGTATCAACAACAAAAGATAAAAAAATATAGAAAAATTACTAAAATCACCGTGCAACGCACGGGTACTAATCTAGTATATTATAACATAAAACACATTTTGAAGGGTTATAAGAAAATTTAGTACACAGAAATATTTGGTGAAAATAGTTTTGGCCGTGTTTGATTATTAGTGTTTTGAGCCAAAATATGTTGGTTGAGATTTGGGATTTTGAAGGGATCTTATTAGATAAAGAGTACTTAAGAAAAAAAAAAATGTTTAACCAAATGAAAAACTACTTTTGAATGTTTAATAAAAACTTATTAAAAGAGTTTTTTGAGCTCAAAATGATCTTTTTGATAAATCTCAAAAAATGAATTTTTCATAATTAGCTTATTGAATATTTAACTTTTTAGTATCTCTATTATCTTATTCCTTTCAAATGTTTATATGGAATATACTTAAAACAAATCAATTAATGAGTTTTTTTTTTCATGCTCAAGGATATTGAACCCCTAACATCAAAGTTAGAAGAAAGGATTCTGTTGGCCTTAGTGGTGGCCAGTTTGTGTTTTGGTTTACTCCGTTGGGTTTGGTTCCTGTGTATATTTCTCAGAATGTGTTTCTATGTAAATTGGAGCAAGGAGATGAAATTAAGCATATAATGTTTGTGTATGGTTCGCCTCACATTTCTTTTCGCTCAGAGGTTTGGAATTTGATTACAAATATTCTTGAAACCATTCCTAATGTCGTCTTGATTGGCGACTTTAACCAAGTTGAAAACCTTTCGGATAAATTGGGGGGTAGCTCATTTATTCCAGGACAGATGGATTTTATTAGTTGGCGCATGGGGCAGAATTTGGTCGATGTTCCGTTTTCTGGTCCAAAGTTTACCTGGACTAATAACAGGACTGATTCAGATCCGATTTTTGAAAGGCTAGATAGGGCCTACGCCTCTTTCGCTTGGTTTCTAGATTATCCCGACACAAGAGTTTTACACCAACCTATTTTATTTTTGGATCACGTTGTTATTATTCTCTCGGATAAAGTGGAATCAGGATATGTAAAACGTCCTTACAGGGTGGAAAACTGGTGTTTGTCGGCCTCTGAGGTTCGTGAAATAGTACACTCTGCTATCACCTTGTTCTTCTCGGGTTCTCCAATGTTTTCTCTATCTCGGAAATTATCAGTTGTTAGAGAACGATTGTTAGCTTGGTGCATTTCTCATAAGAAGGCGTGGGGGATTAATTGGAAGACTCTGGTTTTGGAAGTTCAACAAGCTTCTTTGGCATTGTCCTCTCGCATTGATCGTTGTCTTTTTATCACTACTAAGGACGAGAAAGTTGCAGAGGCACAAGCAGCTTTTCTCTTCTGGCGTCAACGTGCGAAAGTGAAATGGGATGCATTAGGGGATTCTCATTCTCGTCTCCTTTTTTCCTTGGTGCAATCTCGACGTCGTCAAAATAAGATTTGTGGTTTGAGAGATTCGGCTTGTTGTGGGTAAAAATACCCCGTATACATGGAGCAATCCCATAGTGACACGTGGCCCAGTTATAGGGTGACATGTGTCATCACGGGAAGATGCCACGTAATTCAAAGCCCTTAAAGCCGTAGGCTAGTCTCGTCGTGACACGTGGCCCAGTCAGAGGGTGACATGTGTCGTCACGAGAAGATGCCATGTGTTAAGGACATTTGTTCCCTTAACAATCAACATGCCAGAAAACCCTAGCAACATCAGGGCCCAAATCCCGAGAGATAACAATGAAAGCCGCAAAACGGCGCCCCCAGAGTAGCACGTGGCATTCGCTGAATGCACAACCAATCACGTCACGCAAATCTAGGGTATAAACCCTAGAGAGGGGCACGAGTCCCACCCCTATAAATACCCCAATCATTTATGATGGGAAGAAAATTCAGACAATTGAAAAACAACAGAGCATTAAATAGCTCCAACTTCTCTCTACTTTCTCTCTCTATCCTTTTCCGTTCTGATCACTGACTTGATCGTCGGAGGCGAATATTCCGTTGACCAGAATATTCGTTGTTTTGCAGGTGGGACCGACTCATTGCCAAAAGAGCGTGACCAGTATCCCAGGAAATCCAAAAAACACCCGAAACATTTGGCGCCGTCTGTGGGGATACTCGTACGTTATGGCAATAGACGGTCAGACACCTCATCCAGGCGAGGATGGACATGTAGAGGATTTAATCCCTACGATCCGTACTAGCGATCCTCTGATAGCCACATTTGAAGAAGTTGATGACCCTCCTGTTACCACTGCCTCTCTTTAGGCCGTGCTTAACAAACTCAGAAAAGAAATTGAAAATGGAGCCTCTACCTCTAGGCAGCCGCCCAGGAGAGAGGAGCAGAGGGCTCCAAAGAAGACACACAGCAAAGCAGTCCATGCAACGGACGCTGGAAACACTCCTTTTCGAAGGCCGACCGGAAGGTCCCCGAGGGTGCCACGGACTAATTTCTCTAACTTGCTGGCGAAAACGCAGTCGGTTGGGGGGAGGGGTAGACAGCCTCAAAGAGAGGAGCCTGAGCCGTCCAGACGATGGAAGGACGCAAGAGATTACCTTCGGCTTAAGAAGCGGGAGCGCGCCGCCTACTCGGACACGGCCTCAACCCCAACTATGCCGGATGATTTTTCACGTCATTCTCTTTCCCAGCATACCAACACGGCCATCTCCAGCGGAAGTGAGGCGGTCCGCACCCCAACTCCTATTCCAGTCTTTCATGCTCCAACTCCCATTATAGCCCAATCACTGCAATATCAGCCTCCTCAGGGGTTCAATGGCTTGATGCAGCCGAACCCCCAGGCATATGGACAATATGGACCAAACGGACGGGTGTACGGACAGGCTCCCTATCTGGCTGGACCGTCCGTGCAACCGCAACCCATCGATTGGCAGATGCGCCTACTTACTCTGGGAGATAAGCCGCCCCCGTTTTCGCAAGATATCTTAAATGCCTCTCAGCCACCAAAGGTGAAGAGTGTACTTGTGGGAGCCTATGATGGCATGGGCAACCCAGAAGAGCACATCACCTCGTACAGGAACCTGATGTACTTGCAAAGCGTAGATGATGCTACTTGGTGCAAATGTTTCCCGGCCACTCTGAAAGGTATGGCGCAGGATTGGTTTAACAGTTTACCGGTCGGATGTATCAATTGTTTTACTACTCTTAGTTTGCTGTTCGTGGGAAATTTTTCATACAATATACCGCCTCGAAAGACTAGTCTTAACTTGGCGAAAATCGTCCAAGGAAAAACTGAGGGCTTACGCTCGTACGTCTAGCGATTTAACCAAGAAAAAGCCCAAATTCATAATCTGCCAGACGAAATGGCTTACTCTGAATTTCTCCGGGGATTAAGGCACAATGGTTTTAAATTTGACTTGGTAAGGAAAAAGAGTTGGACATACGCAGGTGTTCTGCGGGAAGCCGAAGCTTACATTGAGGCGACGGACTTTTGTTCGCTCACACAAACAGAAGCGCCGGCCAAGGGGGCTGAGAAAAATACCCCTCAGCAAGACTCGGCCGGCCAAAAGAAAGAAGGAAAAAAGAGAAAGGAAGTCTGGGTGGCTGACGCCCAGTCACAGAAGTCCAAGAAGGTCAAGGCGTAGGAGCCTCAGTTTGAATTCAACAAGGATTGTTATTCTATCTTGATGGAAATCAAGGATAAGTTTGAGTTTGAGAAGCCACAGCCGCTGAGAGGCCCGGCTCAGTATAGGAACAAGAAAAAGTATTGACATTACCACAAGGACGTGGGACATGACACAAATGATTCTATCAACTTGAAGAGACTGCTGGACAAGT